TTTTTTTTTTTTTTTTGAGACAGAGTCTTACTTTACTCCCTTTGGTAGAATGCTAGAGTGCTTGGGAGTCACAGCTCACAGCAACCTCCAACTCCTGGGCTTGGGTGATTCTCCTGCCTCAGCCTCCTGAGTAGCTGGGACTATAGGCGTCCACCACAGCGCCCGGCTATGTTTTTTGCAGTTTGGCTGGGGCCAGGTTTGAACCCGCCACCCTTGGGATATGGGGCCGGCGCACTACTCACTGAGCCATAGGCGCCGCCCTAAACCAGTTTTTCTGTGATTGCAAAATGGTAATTTCCCACCTCCAGCATTATCCTTATTTATTATTCGGTACTCGACATTGATTGTACTCTAGTCAAGAAGAGCCTTTCCCCTTGTTCATTTATTGTCAGTGTGCACTCATGGATTCCTGTGTATTTTTTTCAGTAGTTTTTTAATCTTTACTTATGGTGAGATAGAGCTCTTTTTTTTTTTTTTTTTTGTTTTTTTTTTTTGCAGTTTTTGGCCAGGGCTGGGTTTGAACCCACCACCTCTGGCATATGGGGCCAGCACCCTACTCCTTGAGCCACAGGGACTGCCCGAGCTCATGTTTTTATCATCTATTAGGTCTGTGTTTTTCAAACTTTTTTGACTATAACCTAAAGTACAAAAATGTTTCCATTGAGGACACACAAACATGAATCTGTAGCCTAAAGCATTTAATAAAAAGTAACTTATACTATGAATGATGCACTCTGATACTTTACTGATCTATTTTGTTTTATTAAGGCTGGATGCGATCACTAAATTTAATTTATAGCCCCCAAGGAATTCAAAGTCACCTCCATAGGCTATTCTGCCAGTTAGAATGACTTTTGTTTTGTTTTATGAAACTTCTTTTCATGTCTTCATTTCTTTTTTAAACATCTGTTATGGAAAATTGGCAGACACATAAAAGGAGAGAGAGTGTTATAGTGAACACCCCATTATGTCCTTCAACTTTATCAGTTATCAGTACATGGTCCACCTTCTACTCTCCTTTGGATTAGTTTAGAGCAAATATCAAACATCAGCATTTTTCTTTTTTCTTTTTTTTTTTTTTTTTTAAGAGACAGAGTCTTAGTTTATCGCCTTCAGTAGAGTGCTGTGGTGTCACAGCAACCTCCATCTCCTGGGCTTAGGTAATCCTCTTGCCTCAGCCTCCTGGGTAGCTGGGACTGCAGGCACCCGCCACAATGCCCAGCCACTTTTTTGTTGCAGTTTGGCTGGGGCCAGGTTTGAACCTGCCACCCTCGGTATATGGGGCCGGCATCCTACTCACTGAGCCACAGACACCACCCAACATCAGCATTTTTCATCCATAAAATATTTCAATACATGTTTCTAAAAGATAAGGATTTTTTTTAAATTCCATTATTACATCTAAAATAGTAATTCCTTAATATGCTTCTGGTCGGTGTTTGAGTGTAAATGATTGTGTCAAAAATTGTTTATTGAGTCAGTTTATTCAAATCAGGATAAGTCCACTCATTCCTTAATTAGTATCTTTTACATGTTTTTCCAAGGCTACAGAGAATCCTATTTTCTTATTTGTGTTCTTTCTATGTCTAGACCATTATTTATTGAATAAAGTAATTATGTTATGCATTTAGGTTCGGCGCTGGGCTATCCTGACTGCAAGAAACTTGGGGAAAGTGGACAGAGATGATTATTATGACTTACAGGATGTTTTAACTTGCCTTTTTAAAGTCATTGAGTTAGGGCTTTTGGAAAGTCCAGATATTTATACTACTTCTGTCCTTGAGAAGGGTAAACTGATTCTTCTGCCCTCGCACATGTATGATACTACCAACTACAAAAACTACTGGTTAGGTGAGTATTGTTCCTACAAGAGGTGTGTTTTCAAGTGCTGGAAAATGAATCTTTCGTTTAAAGCAACATGAGATTAACAAAATATTAGGATAGTAGTTGACTTTAATAGGAGTTTGATTGTTAATACCTCTTTTTTAATGTGTAAGATATTTCCTGACAGAAAGCATTACTAGCATTGTCTATAAGTTCTGTGCTGCCTCAAAATAGTTCTGCCCTATTTCATTGATTCAAGTATAAAGGTAATGTATCATAATTGGCAGTGATATTTTTTCTCTCTTGGTGAGTGGCATATGAGATATACATCTTAAAATCCAAGACATCTTAGATTGATGAAATACAAGTTATATGGTAGTTATCTTATAAACTGCTTTCTAACCAAGCTAGTACCGTTTTCCCCTTTTACACTTGCATCAGTCCAAAATTCTGTTACATGAGGGCAGTTGTATATGACTATCTCAAACTTAAATGTCTGAGGAACTGGATACTGTTTTGCTTCATCTTCCTGCCTTATATTTCTTTTGCTAACTAAACTAGAGAAGCCATAATAATAATGTTATTTCATTAATTTAAGAAAATTGTAAATAATCTTACAGGTATTTGCATGCTGCTGACTATTCTTGAGGAGCAAGCCATGGATTCTCTGTTGCTGGGCTCAGACAAACAAAATAATTTTATGCAGTCAATACTTCACACTATGGAGAGACAATCAGACGGTAATAAACTGTACTTGCTTTTCAGTACTGTGATCATGGTGCTCTTTTAAAATGATAGTGTTTTGTATGATGTGGAGTAAAGAATAGTTAACTTTTATGGTTTAGATACCAGATTCAGACTTTTTTTTTTTTTTTAGAGACAGAGTCTCACTTTGTTGCCCTTGGTAGAGTGCCGTAGCATCACAGTTCACAGCAATCTCCCACTCTCGGGCTTACATGATTCTCTTGCCTCAGCCTCCTGAGTAGCTGGGACCACAGGCGCCTGCCGCAACGCCTGGCTTTTTTTTGTTGCAGTTTGGCCAGGGCCGGGTTTGAACCCGCCACTCTTGAGTATATGGGGCTGGCGCCCTACCCACTGAGCCACAGGCACTGCCCAAATTCAGACTTTTAAATTGGAAAGAACTTCATTTATAGAGGAATAAATCCTAAGGAAGTTAACTTTTTCATGATGAAAAATTAGTGGTAGAATGAAGACTGGAACCTTTGGGAAACCCATCTGTAATGACCTGTTGCTTTATTTCTCTGTGGTTCTTGTCATCCACAGTAACTGCAAGGCACATGTGATTATTTACATCTAAAGTAACTAAAATTTAAAATCGTTTTTTAGTCCCACTAGTCATATTTCAAGGCCCAATAGCTACATGTGTCTGCTGGCTACTATCTGCACAGAGCAGATGCAGAACATTTCTATTATCAAAGAAAATTCTTTTGGACAGTGCTACTCTAGATAGTCCAGAAAATGAAGCCCAGAACTTGTGTTCATGCTTATTATTGGATCCTAACTTCCTTTGGTTGATGGTTTTACCAAGCTAATCATGAAAGATCTTTACTTGGCTTGGCACCTATGGCTCAAGTGGCTAAGGCGCCAGCCACATACACCTAAGCTGGCGGGTTCAAATCCAGCCTGGGCCTGCCAAACAACAATGACGGCTGCAACCCCAAAAAATGGCCCGGCATTGTGGCGGGCGCCTGTGGTCCCAGCTACTTGGGAAGCTGAGGCAGGAGACTCGCTTGAGCCCAGGAGTTGGAGGTTGCTGTGAGCTGTGATGCCACGGCACTCTACCCAGGGGGATAGCTTGAGGCTTTGTCTCAGAAAAAAAGATCTTTACTTAAAAGTGTTTCTAATCTTATCTTTTTTATGAAGGAATGAGAGTTAATAAAAACCAAACATGCCAGATCCTATGAAAACATAATACTTTTCCACCTCATTCAGTTTTCTTCAGGCAATTTGACTCTGCATGTAAACTCATTCATTTGTGAAACATTCTACATTTATATTAATATTATTCTTTTTTTGATGGCATATATTTTTCTTTCTAGATTGTTCCTAATTAAGAATATTACTAATTCATTGGCTAGCCTTTTTGCATAAATTGTTCATTTCTTTCCCTGTGCCCAACTACATGTATAATTTTCTCCTTGTATTAATCTAGCTCCCTTAACTTTCTTCAAAATATGAGTCATCTCTTCAAGAAACCTTTCATCATTGTTTTCATCTAACTATTGTTTTCCTTATTTGAGAGCTTACTAGACTTTGGCACTATGTTAGGTGTAGCCGAAGATACAAAAATATTTGAGGTCTATGAATGAGGTTTAAAAAGCAGAATCTGAGAGGTCTGAGGGTAGTAAAGTCAAGGTTCTAGGGTGACTAAACATTATCGACAACTGAAAGAGTTAGTAGTAGCAGTCCCCAACCTTTTGAGCACCAGGGGAAAGTTTAATGGAAGACAGTTTTTCCACTGAGGGTATAGGTAAGATTCTCATAAAGCGCACACAACCTACATCCCTCACCTGTGCGTTTTATAGGAGGATTCAAGCTCCTATGAGAATCTCTTTTTTTTTTTTTGAGACATATTCTCTGTTGCCCTGAATAGAGTGCCATGGTGTCATCATAGCTCATAGCAACCTCAAACTATTGGTGTCAAGTGATCCTCTTACCTCCGAACCCTCCCCACCACCACCAAGTGGCTCGGACTACAGGGTACTCAATATGGTGCCTGGCTAGTTTTTCTATTTTCAGTCGATATAGGGTCTTGCTCTTGCTCCCATAGAAATCTGATGACACCACTGATCTGACAGGAGGCAGAGCGCAGGCAGTAATGCCAGTGATGGAGAGTGGCAGTAAATACAGATGAAACTTCTTCCAGGATTGCCTGCTATTTACTTCCGACTATGTAGCTGGGTTCCTAACAGGCTATAGACAGTTAGAGCTCTTGCCTCAGAAGAGTTCTGCAAATGAATAAATGGGGAATGTTAAACTTAGGAGGAGGCATTTAAGCTCCCCTTTTAAGTGTGGATGAGATTTTGGTAAGTGGTACAAATAGTACCGCTATTTGGAAAAGATATTATTATTATTTGGGGAAAAGTAATTTGTTTATGCTGTAGATAGTGTATGATTATGGGGGTATGAAAAATAAAGCCAGAAAGAAATAATTGAGCAAGATTTTTTTTAAAGGTTTTTTATTTGTTTGTTTGCTTTTTTTTTGAGACAAAGTCTTACTATGTTGCCCTCGGTTGAGTGCTATAGTGTCAGAGCTCACAGCAACCTCAAACTCTTGGGCTAAAGCAGTTCTCTTGCCTCAGTTTCCCAAGTAGTTGGAACTACGGGTTCCTGCCACAATGCCCAACTTTTTTTTTTTTTTTT